GCCGTCATTTCTACCCGGGTTTTGTTTGGAACAGGTGGTTGTCAGGTCACTGACTGCGGAGCCTGCCTCTTAAAGGACACTAAGGCCTGGGACTGCCCTAAGGCTTTAGAAGTTTGTTTCTTCTGAGAGAGAAGAGAGCACATCCCAACAGGGCCTTGACGCTGTAGCCGTCCCCAGCTTCAGATCCAGGCCCGTGAGTGCCGGCACACTCAGGTCTCCCGCCTCGAGCGCAGCCTCTTCCCGGGGGCTGCCTCGGGAGTGTCTGGCTTCTGGCCGCGATTTTATCGGCCCAGGCACTGAACCTCTGGGGCTCTGACTTCTAGCGATATCTCCGAGTCACTTCCAGTCGCAGTCCATGGTTCTCGGTGAGATTGTTGTAGTTAGTTTGAACAGTAGGTCTTGCCGTAGAGGCGGAGCTCAGGGCTAGTTTGGCCGCAGCGTGGCCCAACCGTACGCGTAGCCCCCGTGTGCTCTCCCTTGGTGTTGAGTACTCGGCCGTTACCAGTTCTCGTGCGCACTCGTCTAACTTGTTCACGTTGACTAGTTTGCGTTTTCAACTCGGAGCGTGTAGTAGGGAGGAGGGCTCTCGGGTCGTGAGTGTGCCTGCAGCTCGGTGAGCTTTGATAGCACCCCAACCTCCAGCACCCCGAGCTGGCACATCCCGTGGTCACCAGGAGCCCTTTGCAGTTCCCTTCCTGCAAGGGCCGGCTATAAATCTGACTTCTTTATTATTATTATTGTTATTTTCCATAGGGCTCATGTGCTCACCAGGGAGAAATCACCCCCGAATGGGGATGGCCACATCTCAATCGCTTCTCCTCCATTCTCTCTCCACTTGGGATTTTGTACACGCATGTACACACACTGGGAGTGATTTTCAAGCTGCTGGGTCCAGGGCTCAAACCACAGTCAGCCATGTGGGAGTCCAGCGTCTTAGCCACTAAGCCACCTACTGGCCTCCCCCGCCACAGTTCTGACTTGTAAGACCTCAGATTGGGGGACTAGTAGATGGTGTAATGGCTACGTTGCTAGACTCCCATGAACTGCAATTTGAGTCTCGGACCTAGTGGCTTAAACTCATGCGTGTGTGCCCAAGATCCTAGGAGGAGAATGGAGGAGAAGGGATTGCAGCATGGCCATCCCCCTGGGGGGTGATTTCTCGCTTTCTGTCTCGCTGTCTCTGTCTTTCTGACGAGCACACGTGCCCTATAGCAAAAACCTCACCAAAAAAAAAAGAAGGAAAGACCTCGGGTTGGATTCTGAACTGTGTCAGTGACGTCTAATAGTTGGATAGACTCATGCACACATGTCTGTTCACATGCGTTACGAGTAAGCGGTATGTAAGCACTTACCCGTCCACGCACATCTGTCCTTGCAGTGTTTCTGGCTTTCCAGGGTGGTACCTTTAAGCTTGCTGAGCCTTCCTGCCAAGGGATCGCGATTACGTGGAAGTACCCGAGCTTACTTACTGGCTGCCTGTGTCCAGGTGCGAGGCCACGAGGGCACAGTCACTAACAGTGGGCTTCCCTCCAGGTCCAGTGGCACTGCAGAGCACGGATGGTGGCAGGAGCCAACTTCTACATCGTCGGGAGGGACCCCGCCGGCATGCCTCACCCCGAGACGGGCAAGGACCTGTATGAGCCCACTCATGGCGCCAAGGTGCTCACGATGGCCCCCGGCCTCATCACCTTGGAAGTCGTTCCCTTCCGCGTGGCAGCTTACAACAAGAAGAGGAAGCGCATGGACTACTATGACGCGGAACAGTGAGTGTTGCGCTCTGCACGGGTCCAGGACACTTGGCCGCTTGTCTCGTGTTTCACACCCTCCCTGTACCTGTGGGGGGGCGGTCTCCCAGTGTTTCTCAGTCCCCGGGGTTAGAGGAGCTAATAAGGATGGGACCTCACCGCGTGGTTCCGCTCAGGGCTTGGTTGAGCACACATCTGCCTGCCCTTGACTGACGGGCCTGACCGGTTCCAGCCTGGGCAGTACCTGTGAGCTGCCGCTGGCTCTGTGACCTCAGTCCGTATCTCCCTGTCTGGTTTCTTCCCTGAATAGTAGGGAGCTGTGGACACCCCTCTGCTGATGCCGGCCCGGCACAAAATCACCTGCGTTTCTTTGGCCTTTTATAGAAATACACACAGAGACATCCCAGGGTCTTCAGATAGTTTATGGAAAATGTGTATTATGAAAGAACTGTGCATGAGTTTCAAACCTTTTTGCACCAAAACAAGCTCATACTGTAATTCCATTTCCTTGGACGTTTCTTCTGGTGTGCACGCTTACATTTGCACACACACACACACACACACACCATTTCACTATCCGAAAATGCAGCTGTAATAGTGCTGTGTTGAGAGTTGTAAATGGGCTTTTTCTACCGAAAGGATGTCTTAGCAGCTAAATAATAACAATGATAATTTTAAGAAAAATAAAAGCATTATACTAGACTTTGAACTATATTGCCATGAGTGAAACCTTAAAATATAGATTAATTATTAAGAAAAGTCAAGCTTTGTGTGTAGTCCTGCCTTCCGTGGTTAGAACAGTGTAGGCCGCTGTCAGGATTCTCTTAGTCTGGGAAGAGGCCCGCCTTCATGGCTAATTCTTTCTAAAGCCCCTGCCCCAACGTGGCCCCCTGAGGGAGGACAGTCAGCCTTCCTGCAGATCCAAGGAGCCTGAGTGTTCGGCCTGGAATCCGAGCTCTGCAGCCTTACAGATGTAAGTTTGTTACTGGAGGCTGTGAGCAGTCCTGTTCTGGGAGTTACAGTTAACTGCATTAAGTCACTTAGTGGGGAGGGAGAGGACACAGAAATACAGTCACTCTCCTGGTGGCAGAGCCCTCAACGCTTAGGTGGGTGAGTTACGAAAACAAAATTCAACTAAAAAGAGCCGCGCTTTGCTTTCTTCCTTCTCGTGCTGATGTGTCTCCTTCCCGTGGTCTCTGCGTGGTCAGCTGTTCTAATCACACGCAGGGCCCTAAACCCATCTGCATGTCGTTGACTGACATGCTGGTAAAGCCTCGGTAACTTTGATGTGCGGTTAAATCGGTGCAGTGTTGCTTTAAGTCTCTCTTTTAATCATTCAAAAGCTAAATAATTACATCAGTTCTCATAAGATTTTCCAAGATGAATTCTGTTATTAGTTGCATGAGTAGCTCATTTTCTTGGAATTTTTTTGGGTTACCAGATCTTAATAAGTTATAACATGGAGAGCTTTAAAACTGCCTTAATTCTTAAACTTTTTATATTTGTGTTCAAATATAATTAAGTTGATGGGAATATGCTGGAAAGTGATTAAAATTTTGTGGCAAGACCGTAGTCTTTGATGTAGTGAGAAAACAGTTATTAATTATGTGCTTGTGAGGCTGTCTTACATCTGATTAATGAACTTTACTCAGTGCCAGCTTCTTTGTGATTAATGATTTTGTAGCTTTTGACTTGATTAAATACCAGTGTAAGACAAGGCTTAGGGGGGAAAAACAAACTTCATGGAGATTTCAGGCAAGATACTATTGGTAGGAATTATGATAAAAATCATCCATTTACATTTAGCGAGTTAGGGAGGTTCATAGGAGCTGTAATAGCGACTCAAGGCAATTTCATCTTGGGACTGCAAGATTAAAACCCATTCGTTCAGATATTACAAACCAACTTCTAGAGAAAATTCAATGATTTGTATTTTTTTCCCTTCTGTAAGGTGAATCTTTGTGTTTGTGTAGCAAAGTACAGATTTCTTTCTTTCCTTTTTTAATTATAATGTTTTTGCTATAGGGCATGTGTGCTCACTAGGGAGAGCCAGACAGACAGTGAGTGGGAAGGTGAGCACACCTCCGGTGCAGCTGCTGGCGAGCCGCCTGCATGGCGCTGTTTAGAGGAGGTCTGGCCTTCCCTGCACATCTGGCAGACGACAGAAATGGGGACACCTCTAGATTTACGCGATGTCAGTCAGTCTTCCTTGTTCCGAAGCTGTGTCTGTTAACCATTTTATTGTGCTGACATGTAAGAGGTGTCTGACCTGAGAGGATGAGAGCCGTTGAGATACTGGGTCGAGTATGCCCCGTCCTTCTGGCAGGGCAGGGGGACAGGAAGAGCACACAGTGACGCCAACAGCACAGGCCCGAACTGAAGAGGCTGTGCCTTCCTGCACGACCATTAGAGATGGGATCTCAAAGCACTGACGTTGTGTCTCCTGTGACTGGCTGAATGAGGCCCACCGTCTTTTACTTTTAAGAGATTTTTCCTGTAGGGCGCGGGCACGAGAGACAGAGAGACAGAGACAGACAGCGAGAAATCACCCTCCCCAGGGGGAATGGCCACACCACAGTCCCTTCTCCTCCATCCTCTTCTTGGGTTCTTGGGCATGCATGCACACGTGACCAGTGTGAGTTTTAAGCTTCCCGGACCAGGACTCTAACTACGGGCGCCGATGCCAGAGTCTGACAATGTAACCATTGTGCCACCTGCTGGTCCTGAGTCCTACTATCTTAAATTCCTATCCTGTTCGTACAACATTCCAGGGGGAGACTCTGGCCCGTGTTTCAGAGAGGAGCGGGGCATTCGTTAAAACCCCGGCACCTCTGGGAGGCAGGAAGGCCAGGCGAGGCTGGCAGAGGGTCTGAGAGAGAGAGCTCGTATGAGGACCTGTCAGTCATGGTCACGCCTGGGGATCCCGGGTGTGGGAGGTGCTGAGAGTGGGTGGGTGGTCGGAGGAGCAAGCCCGTGGCTGGCAAACCTGGTAAGCATGTGGGGCCTGAGTGCACAGATAATGAACCAGCAAAGCAGCAGGAGAGACCGGGACCTGGCCTGCAGCCTGGACTGGGAGGAAGTCCCACTCCTGTCCTGGTCTGGCAGCCCACTCGCAGCGTGCGAACCGCGTAAGGTCTCGCGGGTGGACCACACCTGCCAGCACAGGGAGATGCCTGGAGGGCCTCCGATTAATGTGGGCACAAGTAGGTCAGAGGAGGCAGACTGGGAGGGGATCATTGGATGGGTCGTAGTGAAGACATGTAGAGACCTTTGGCTGCCAGTCCCGACTGAGGAATCAGGGGGATCAGACGGTGCTCACAGCACAGCCCGAGGGGCAGGTGGAAGCGCAGGGTCTCCGCAGGTAGGGCTCCGGGTAACCGGGGGCAGGCTAGGTGAGGGTTTTATTCATACGGGTTATGGAAATTGAGAAAAATGGTCATTGTAGAGCACTGCAGAAAACCTAGACAAAATAACAAACTGTAACCCCACTTCCTAGCGGTAAACCCCGGGAACACACGGTCGTACTTCCTGGCCTCTGCCACCCCGCCCTCCGTCTTCCCTGTGTACTTGAAAGGAACTCCAGTGACTTGTGTCTAGTTCCAGCTGCTGGGACATAATGTCTCGGACACGTGGCTTAAACCACAGACTTCTCTCACAGTTCGGGAGAGCGGGAGTCCGAGAACGAGGCGCCAGCAGGTTCCGTGTCCATGTGGCAGGGAGAGATCTCATGTCTCTTTCTCTTTTTATAGGAGTATCAGTCCCATCTCTCTTGACCTCATTAAATACAATCACCTCCCAAAGGACGCACCCTTTGTATTTTATTTTTAAATTTGTATAGAAGGTTTTGCCTTAGAGGGCATGCACTTGCTGGAGGGAGGAGAGAAGCAGGGGCAGACAGGGAGGGAGGGAGAGAGAGAGGCAGGGGCAGGGAGGGAGGGAGGGAGAGAGAGAGGCAGGGGCAGGGAGGGAGGG